TCTGGTTTGGGTCTTTGTGCGAACATTAGATATTCTGTATTAAAACTGCTGTACATCTTGTTTTCTCAAAAAAATAATAATTGTTTCCTCTGTGGTCAACAGGCGACCTGTCTCCCCGCTTGGGCTCCAGACGACGCAGCGCAGACCTGGTCCCACCGGCAAGAAAAGCGCACCTGCCCAACACCCCGGGTAGATCCTCCTACCACGTCCGGTTCGCTCAGTACACGGACAAAGTGGCACCTCCAGATTTACCGCCAAAATCCACGGCCCCGAAACACTACAACGGGGCAAGGGCAGCCTCTACTAAGCCTGTGCCAGATTTTCGGGACAGGCAAGGCCCAAAGGGAAATTTCCTCGCCAAAAACAATGGTCAAAAAGAGCCAAACTTGACGAGCACCTTTGGCACACCTCGGCAGATTTCGATGACATCGATAGATGATGACGCAACTACCACCACTTCTGGTAGCTACGTCATCAGTCCAGACGACGTGAGAATGGAGACTTTTGTGGGCTCAGACATTATTGTGTAAAGAGTCGAGAATAACGAATCTGGCGACAAACTGGTCACAAACAGTTTCCATTTTTTAAATACATCAAGAACAATAATATAAGAATGTGAATTCTTTGTGAACCCTGTTACAATGTCTGCCCCCTTCCCCCATCCACACAACACCCCCCTCCCCCCTTTTCCCTCAGACCGTCTCAAGACTTTCGTCAATTTGGTACACATACTGGCATTTCAGCAGACCCTCATAAAATTTTGTTCACGGAATGGCCAAGAAGTCTGCATATTCAGCGCACATTTGAATGCTTGATGCTTTTTTTTTTCTTTTTTTTGACTGAACTGAACTGACATTGTTTGCCATGTCGCTTTAAGTGTCACGCATTTATTGTTCAGCTGTTGTTGCCATGGATTGGTGTGAAAAGCTTTTTAAAAAGCTTTTTAGAACTGAATTGTAAATAATTATATGGATAAACATTGTTTTAAAGAAGGTGGTGTCTCAGAAAATACATGAAGTATGCTTGGTATTTTAAATAATACTTGAGGTACAAAAAAGAGGATTACAGAAACGAAGAGACGGAGTGTGATGAATATATAGATTTAAAGAGGGAGAGAGAGAGAGAGAGAGAGAGAGAGAGAGAGAGAGAGAGAGAGAGAGACAGAGACAGACAGAGAGGCAGGGAGAGA